AAGACTATCTTTTGCCGGTCGGTTCGAAGGTTTTCTTGGTCTACCTACCAGCCCTACATGAGGAATGACGGGCAACTCTTTGCGCATACACTGTCGGCCTCGACTTATACCCTCCTCTATTACGACGAGCATCCTTCGTTACAAGTACGGCCTATAGAACGGTGCACCAGAGTGCTATACCTCCTCTTTTTCAATGTAAGATCCCGCGGAAATTCAGGTCCAGGCGGGGCTGGATCTGTTATTTTCCGACTTCACGTTTTGAAGCACGCCGCATGCGTTTTGTGGATATGAACAAGTCATATGGCCATGCGAGACCACTAAAAATATCGCTGAGTACGGGGAGGGCTCGTACACGGTCTTCGGCAAGCAAAAACAATTGACTGCTCACCCCTGCATGTCATTGGAGACAGTGCAATTGTGTTTTCGCAACTCCGAACACGACATCTGTAACGGGGCACCGACAATCACGTACTGGTCTGGCAGTACGGAATTAACTTTCACTGACAACAGTGAAGGTTAGTACCCTGCTATGTATTACACTAATACGGAGAAACGTAAGCGACTAAGTTAAAGACTCTAGTTGTAGGAAAAAGTAAAACTGTTATCGAATGCGATTAAGTCCTACAACTCTTGTTTCTCTGTTTGTCTCGACTTAATTATACATTTATAACTAAATGTATTATCACGTCTACTCACCACCCATTGCACGCGTCTCGCAGCGATTGGTGGGTTGATATAGTCACAATATCAACCAATGAGTAGACCCTTCGGTCGTCCCAACAAGATCACTGTGCTTCGTGATATTGTTAAAAGAATATTCAACGTAATACTCTTTATTACCATTTTATTCTTGATGACAGTTTCGTGTAACGGGCTACCTCGTTACAACACCGTCCACGCAAGCAGCACTTGGTGCGGTAATGCACAGAGGCAATCGCCATAGCAAACGATATTGATGTCTCCAGCTGAGGACATCATTATCGCACCTACAACAAAATGGCGGATTGACTGGCGAATATCGGTATGAACACAGGAGATTCGGTTCAAGCGCACGCTACTTGTGCCCCAAGTCTGGTCCATGAAGCTATTACATTCCTTAGTTCTGATGTCAATCATTGGTCGGAGACCTCTCAGACCGACCAATGCGTCATACAGGGCCCCGTACGCACAACGAGGAGCCTGATCATCTCGAGACAGGAGGCTGCGCGCAGGCACTCTGCTATATGCGACACCTAGTGGTACCTAGTTAATAACGTAGCGGTCGCCACGGTAAATTTGTTGCCGGGTGACAGGATGTAGCAGGTCGTACGCGTACCTAAGAACACCTCACCTTGTCACTCACTCACCACGAGCAACAACATTTGGCTTGGAACATTTCAAACCCACGCTTACCCTATTAAATTTGCTGAGCAAGCCTTGTAGCACAACTTAAGCGCGTATATTGTCGATCGTCATCATACCGTAATATACCTTGATTACAAAACATTACACTCGACGGTGTCGATACAGAGACGACTCTCTGGGCAACCTCACTTTACAAGCGAAGTCGCTGCTTCCGCTTCATGTCAGGTAGGGCCATATGGCCCTACGTGACATTACATGGAGAGTACGTCTAACCACGATATATGTGCGGCATGTCACGTCGTTTACCAGGCATTTTGCGACTTAATGTCGGACGAAGTCGTTGGAATATGCTTGATGAAACGAGGCGCAAGTGTTATGCGAAACAGGAGATTCGAGGCACTTCATCAGGTCGTTTGGTGGACGTGTGTCTGGGAAGCTGTGAAGTTCCGTTAGTTGAAATAGCTCTGTGGACAGAGTGCTAATGGTTGATATATACTGAAGTCTTTAATTTACCTAAAGGCGCTGAGGTGTTAGGAACGGTGTTTCAATCGACGTGACGAGTCTCTTTCCTCTCGCGGAGGCCAGCCCCACTTTGCTCTTCTTTAATGGCAGGTACAAAGGCAATCCTGACCCGGAAGATGCTGGCGCTGTTATTCATGTGTGTCCTGCGACGCCTGCCTCGGTCAGGATTCGTTGGATGTGCAGCATATCGCTCGCTGCTCGGAACACAACAAACAGTACAGCCTAACACAAAGCTCTATTTTTGGCCTTTAAAAAGCGCACGATTGCCATCCCCAACATAGCCACGTCGTAGTCCACATTGAACTCATACTGGGGCAGCTCTGAGGACGGAGACCCCCAAATACGCCACGGATCTCAGACCTCTACAGGCAATGACACCGGTCATCAGATGACGTGCACGAAGTACGATCGCCTCCGGCCGTGCTCACTGGAAGACCCTGCCATTGAGCGAACCGGTCCGACAACATACGTATGTCATGTCCCCTTGGTTGATGGGGCGGACAGACACCACACAGACCGCAAAGAAGGGCGTCGGGCGTCGGGCGTTAGCGATTCTATTGGGGAGTCCTCCGTTGGCTACAGGACAAAATGTACAGGTTCTCCCCACTATCGATTTAGGCCCCCCCACCCCCGATGTACGGCTATCTTACATCTGGGACTGCTTGAACCAGGTGCTGTACTAGGCATAGGAGATACCGAGCCGGGTACTCCATCAAGGGAAATTGTGCTGCAGCAGGAGTGCAACGGGATTCATTGGCCAGTTGACGACTCAAATCAACTCCACCGGCGTATGGGCACGATAAAGATGCCCTCCAGCGCGCTCAACGGGCTCACGGCCATATCATCGAGGCACATCGATTAATTCACTGCTATCTGTGGGATGCACCAGCGAACATAGCGAATCGACGCGTCCTGAAGCACATTAAACGCCTGCCGTATTGCAAGGCCAAAGTAAGGCTTGGCACGGCGTTAACAGGTCGACTCTAGAAGTTACAAACATGCGCGGACCGGGAGGATTGGCACTCTGCGGTTCTTTACCAAATCCCGAAACAGCTATGGGGTCATCAGAATGCGATAACGGAGTACCAAGTGTGGGTCATTTATCGTCTGGTCTTCCAACAGCTCAATATATTTTCCCCCGGTAGAATATCCAATAACAGCTGGAGGAGGCTCTTTGTCTGTGGCGGTCACAAAGAGACACTCGAGCACATTTTCTGGACATGTTCGGTGTCCCAAGGATGCTGGAAGGCGGTACTGACCTCATGGCTTGGGTCCGACATACGACCGGGAGATGTGGGCCAATATGCGAGGCTCTGCATGGCACGAACACCGCCGCCATTGTCTCCGACACTGCAACATCGGCTGCAGCACGCATTTGGGAATGATGTGGAGGCGTTTGTTGTTCAGTGAAAGCGCATCTGGTGGATCCTGTGTTCCGTCTGTATCACGACTCTATGCATACAGCGCAATACGGTTGTTCACGAGCGGCAATAGCTTTTGGCTCCGGGGGAGTGTCTAAGAGATTTGCTGTAATGGCCTTCGGCAATTACGAGCGTTATCGGCCAGAGCGCCGAGCTCAACATTCAAGGGCGCAAGGCATCCGTCTGTGGCAGTGCATCGAGCTGCTCGACACCAGTACTGCGCCTTGTAGACATCACATCATGTGGTGAGCCACGTGCAAGCACCGAATCATCCGACCCCGACGTTGCTAATCTGGCTTAGGACATTCCAGAAGTCTTGTACACATTCGAACCGTGTAATAGACCGTCTCTCTCTCTCTCTTGCTTTCAACCATCTGATCAACATGAGGTGAACTTGAGGACGACTGCTTTGCCGATACAAGCGAGCGTATGAATCCCTCGTTCGCCCACGACATATCTGCTCTCAGCTTATAAGTAGCAGGTACGACGTACATGCTTTCGAGCTATCCAATCCATCGCCTGTCGCTCGAGTTTTGCTCTCTTGTCTAAAGGTCTCGCATTGTGTACCCTAAGCTCCATATGTCGTGTAGCTGCTGCGTGGCGGTCTCAAGCTCGGGGAGCTGATTCACGGTATGGTGAACGAGCTTGAGACCGCAACGGACGACATCTCTCGACGGGCAAGCGACATCTTACAAGCAGACGAAGTCGGTGAGCAATTGTGAGGTACCCAGACGAAGGTACCTTCGGACAGGAAGAGAGGGAGAGGGATTTGGGCTGTCCCACGAGCACATATGACTGATCCAAGATGACGCTGTATGGAAACATGCTTCAGGCTTGCGAAAACGAGATTGCTCGCCTCCTCGATGGCTAATCAATCCTGTCTGGCTCAAAATATCGGGCGTCAATGAGAAAAGGTGGGGGGGGGTACTTCGTAAAGGGTGCGTGTGACCGTCGACTTAGATCAGGGTGCATGCAGAAAGCAAAGGTCGGAAGGCCGACCGTTCAACACTACGGACAACTCTTTATGGACCACCTTCATGCGTGGCATGCAGCTCCAATACTAGACGGGAACGGCCAGTAAGTACTCCTACCTTCGAGGCAAGTATTCGTCAGGCGGGCGAGACATGCGGTCGTGAACGGTTGGCAGCTCGACGACGGACGTGGACGAGAGCAGGAACGACTTTGGGCCCTAATGACGGCTGTCTCGTACAACAATTCGTCGACGGGAGCCCCACGCCTCGAAATGCCCCGTTCCAGTCGCACGCTGCGGTGCCTTCTGTGGCATAGCGCAGCGGAGACAATGCGTCGCCACCCATTCGGGCTTCACTATGGGACACTTCCTGTCCAGGGTACGGGGGCCCGTCGAAAAGATACTTTTGCTATGCGAAAACGATAGGCCTGGTCGGCATAGTGACGTTTTGCGTCGGCAAACTGTGTCGCCGACATTTCGCATACTGAAGCCGTTTACGGGCACATTGGATACACGCCGTCTACGGGCATACTGGATACATGCCGTCTACGGGCACATTGGATACACGCCGTCTACGGGCACATTGGATACAAGCCGTCTACGGGCACACTGGATACATGCTGTCTTCGGGTGCATTAGATAGACGCCGTCGGACTCCGGATAATGTGAGCGCATAAAGCAATTGGAGGCGCACCCGACAAGCGTCTTCATCACATCACAAGGCATCAACTCGCGACGGCACCATGGTCCCAGTTCGCGCGGCAATGCTTGCTTCCGCGATGCTACTCGTCGGCGCAACGCTCAGCGGGACTTCAGCTCAAGACTCCCAGAGTTACATGGTTCGCGACGATACTGGCGGCCGAAAGTCTTCGGACACTCCAAATTGGGAAAGTGACATCGATGGCGATGACAATGGCGGCGGCGGTGGCAAAGAGGGGTTTAGTGATCTCGAAACCAGAGCAGCATCAACTGGTGGACGGGGCAGCAAACCGTCCACCGGCGGAGGAAAAGTGCCCGATGGGACGTGGCCCAAGAGCACTGGTTTGGTTCGGCTCAAGGCACCGCAAGTCATCAAGGCTGGCGAGGACTTTGATGGAAAGATGCGGACATTCGAGCGATCGGATATCACGTGCCAAGGACAGAACGAGAGAATGTCGGACACCGCTGTTTTCCTTGTCGAAGCTGGTGGCACGCTCCGAAATGCCATCATCGGCAAGGACCAAATGGAGGGTGTTCATTGCGATGAACATGACTGCGTGATTGACAACGTTTGGTGGGATGACGTCTGCGAGGATGCGCTCACTATTCAAAATGGCACCGCATCCAGTGTTTCGACGGTCATCGGTGGCGGCGCTCGCCTGGCCGAAGACAAGGTTGTCCAGCACAACGGCGTCGGTACTGTCAAGATCGACGGTTTTTACGGAGAAGACATTGGCAAGCTCTACCGCTCGTGTGGCAATTGTGGTAATAGGATGCGGAAGGTGGAGGTCTCGAATGTGTACGTCGTGGATCTGCGGAAAGCCCTCGTGACGGTGAACGAGAACTACAAGGACGAGGCCACGCTGAGCAACATTTGGGTCACGTCTAACAAGAAAAAAGTGAAGATCTGCCAGTGGTCGCAGGGCACCACCGCCGGCCGTGAGCCTAAGATGCTGGGCGATGGGCCGTCGCCCCCGCTCTGTCAGTACACGAAGAGCGATGTGCACATCAACAAAGGCGCACCTTCAGGTGGAAGCTCGGAACCAAGGAAAGGCTCGTCACCGTTTGCGTTCTTGGGTGGTGACAGTGTTGAGCAAGAAGCTGGCGTCGTGTCCCCAGGTGGCGGCGACGACGGCACAAACGGTGGAGAGGACGAAGCTGCTGACGAGGGGGGTGATGTCGTTGACCAAAGATATAGCAATGACAGATACGGCGGTGATGACAAAAATGGAGGTAAGGACGACCATGGCGGCGGTGACAATGGCGGCGGGAATGGCAAAGAGGGGTTTAGTGATCTCGAAACCAGAGCAGCATCAACTGGTGGACGGGGCAGCAAACCGTCCATCGGCGGAGGAAAAGTGCCCGATGGGACGTGGCCCAAGAGCACTGGTTTGGTTCGGCTCAAGGCACCGCAAGTCATCAAGGCTGGCGAGGACTTTGATGGAAAGATGCGGACATTCGAGCGATCGGATATCACGTGCCAAGGACAGAACGAGAGAATGTCGGACACCGCTGTTTTCCTTGTCGAAGCTGGTGGCACGCTCCGAAATGCCATCATCGGCAAGGACCAAATGGAGGGTGTTCATTGCGATGAACATGACTGCGTGATTGACAACGTTTGGTGGGATGACGTCTGCGAGGATGCGCTCACTATTCAAAATGGCACCGCATCCAGTGTTTCGACGGTCATCGGTGGCGGCGCTCGCCTGGCCGAAGACAAGGTTGTCCAGCACAACGGCGTCGGTACTGTCAAGATCGACGGTTTTTACGGAGAAGACATTGGCAAGCTCTACCGCTCGTGTGGCAATTGTGGTAATAGGATGCGGAAGGTGGAGGTCTCGAATGTGTACGTCGTGGATCTGCGGAAAGCCCTCGTGACGGTGAACGAGAACTACAAGGACGAGGCCACGCTGAGCAACATTTGGGTCACGTCTAACAAGAAAAAAGTGAAGATCTGCCAGTGGTCGCAGGGCACCACCGCCGGCCGTGAGCCTAAGATGTTGGGCGATGGGCCGTCGCCCCCGCTCTGTCAGTACACGAAGAGCGATGTGCACATCAACAAAGGCGCACCTTCAGGTGGAAGCTCGAGAGCGAGGAAAGGCTCGTCACTGTCTGCGCCCTCGGGTGGTGACAGTGTTTAGCAAGAAACTGGTACTGATGACAAAAGTGGTGGCCACGGCGGAGTAAACAAGAGCAAGGGGGGAGACGATGATGGCAACGAAAAGGAAGGGGGTGGTACCAAGAACGAGGATAAGGAGGACGATGAGGATGGCAAGAAGGACAAGAAAGAGAGCGAGGAGGAGGTCGCCGGTGAAGCTGCGAATTAAGGCGGCACGGGAGATGGCTATTCTCTCGTAGATGAGACCGACCATTTCACGAAGGACTCGCCACCTGCGTCAGCATCGAAGTACAGTATCCGCCGCAGGAGGAACTAGAGGAGTGGAGGCACGCTAGAACAATTGCGTCAAGTCACACCTTTGTGGTCGTTTCTTCAGCAGCGTTTGTGTTGTTCATGTTTTACAAAGTCCATGTGTTTTGATAAAATCAATCGATTTAACAAGTAAATATGAAGATACTGCATAATGCACAACAGCTTGAAGGTCTCACGTGATATGTGTATATTTACCTTCTAATCGAAACCTCACTGAATGCGAACCTCAGCAGACGACAAGTCGCAGAAATACGCCGAAGCTGACCAGCATCTCAACAAAACGAAGCAGACCATGTCCGCACGTCTGTATTGCAGTGCCCTTTCGCATGCCCAATTCAAGCTCACACTCCATCGATTATCGTCCAGCTGTACCAACACGCAGTTCAATGTTTACGCCACGTTTCCGATTGGAACCCTGGAAAAGTGAAAGAAACGAAGCACATTCGAAAGGTCCGGATTCCGAGTTTCGAAAAGACACAAAACCAGCCGGCGCTGACCATAGTCTAATGACGGGTGTGGGTTCTCTACGTAGTTGAAGCAGTGCCACTGTACTCGCAGACCACCCCAGGGTGATTTGAAGGACTACGCGACTGAAAATCTATGCTGTAAGGACTGTCCGCTTCTTTCCATTCTTCGCGATTGGCACCAATAGGTGCAAATGGTGCACTCTTTGCCACTCAGTTTTTATCAGTTGCGTCTTCTTTCACTCCAACAATTCCGTCCTTGCTGCCGCATGAAGTGGAAGCAGACGCGAGAGCGGACGTGTGCATGGCCCATATTGCTTGTCCCGAACCTTGGATTGGTCGCGTCGAGACACGATACAGTGGCTGTTGGTTCGAAAGTGTCGACACGCAGACATATCGCTTTAAGCGGACGTATGCCTGGCAGTTGACAACACGACTATCCATTCCTTTACATCCCCTCGCTTTTTTGCTTTGTCCTGCTTGATAGAACCAAGGCAACACTGTATGCACGTCTTTCAACCATCAGCTGATCCTGATCAGGCGTTGGGCCTTCTTTTCGTGAAAGGTGGCTCTTCCAGCGTCGTTTCTCGTCACCATTTTTCGCAACTATTTACTTAGCGAGGTGCGATTATGAAACAGACGTTGCTGTTCGAAGGCGGGCGTTCCAGAGCTTTAACGATCGGAAGATATGAGATCTGTCAAAACATTTGGCACGACTTGGAGTTGGAGTGGCCTCACACATTACTTGCTGGGTATCCAACAATGGATTCCGGTAACGTCATCTGAAACAAGGTGGTCTAATCGATCTTTGTCTACTATCGATCATTATTTTACAAACGGTTTTAAGGGTGGTTACTCAATATTCAAAAACGATTACACAAAGCTCTTTAACTATTAATAGTAATTAAAAAAGATCAAATCAATCCAAAGACATGATCTTTTTCATTATGAAAATAACATTTTAAAGTTATATTTGAAATTTAACATCAAAATAAACAATATTAAGTAATAAATAAACATATTGTTTGATAAAAATGATACTATACTTTTACATAATTTAAAAACTGTGTATAAAAACAATTTTTTTATTGTGGTTTTTCTTTTTCAAGTTGTATATTTCTCGATTTTTTTTAATTTTGTTCCGATGCAGTCGGATGATTCCATCCATGAAAAACTTTATTGGGTGCTCCACTTTCTGTTGATGCGGTTACATCAATTATATTAACCACCAATCGCTGCTGGACGCGCGCAATGGGTGGTGAGCAAGAAACCCACATAGGAGATGGTAGTTTAATGTAGTTAGGTCAAGACAAAGATGGTTTCTTAGGAAGCATCTCTACATTTAATACAATTCTACTTTTCAATCAGACAGAGCTTTCGAGTTCTATTTGCTTTGGTTGCGCTTCCTCGCCACGTGTACGTGACGTCGGGTGCACACACCGAAACAAGGTGTGCCCCTTACACTTAATGCAATTTGTAGTTCGTTAACGACCAAGGTTTTTTCATTCAACATGAACATGTCGGACGAAGAGGAAAGATTTCACGCCACGCTCGAAGACTATAAATCTTTGAGTGACATCGAATGAAGTTCGGCAGAACGTATGAGTTTTACTGTAGGCGAAACCGCCATTAGCGACATGTCGGAGTCTTATAACAGAGAACACAAACATGCCGCTATGGCCAGGTCCATTTAAAATGAACTTGTCGTCGAAAGAGAGAAAGTAGTATTGATTCACCAGCATGACTCTCAACAGGTCAAGGAGTTGAGAGAACTCGGTGCTCAACATACAGAGCTGTTGAGACAGCAGCCATTTAATGCTGCTGTGAGCGGGACGACACACACTCATTCTCCCGAAATCTTGAAGGTTTACATCTTCAAGTACACAGGAGTTGAGGAAGACTCCCTGTTGGTATGGTTCGTCGAACTAGACAGAGCCATGAAGGCACGTCGCATCGACGATAAGCAAATGAAATTTACATTTGCTCAAACCCGCTTAGCGGGACGTGCCAAGACTTGGGCCTTAGGGATCGAGATGAGCGATCCATATGCTTTTGAGTCGCTGGAATCCTTCACGACCCGGCTCAAACAAACGTTTCATTCACCAAGAGCTGAGTTCAGGGCTCGATCAGAGCTCCTTAAACTCAAGCAGGGTAAGCGTGATGTGCACACTTAAGTTCACCATATATGACTCCTCGCAAGTAGTATAACTGCCAACCCAATACATGAACACACGTTGACTGCTGTTTTCATGGAAGGGGACGCAGACGGACTCTTCAAGAACCACCTATTTCGTTTCGATCTGGATACTCTTGAGCAAGCAATCACAGCTGCGGAACGGGAAGACGTAAGAATGAGACAGGCTCATGCTAGATCGAGCTCTTATCGC